TTCAGATATATTATAATATATATATATATACTAATATAATATATTTTTTTTTTTTTTTTTTTCTTGAACAAAAAGATGTAAATTAAAGCTCATTTTTTGCATTCTTTTTTTATCTTTTAGAAATTTTGGATTTTTTTTCTCTATTTTTTTATTGTTTGCTTGGATGGTTATTTTTTTTTTTAATTTTTAAAATTAATATTAATCATCTAGATGAATAGCAATATATTTTGAAAATCTAATCTAATTTACAACACTTTATTTTGATTTATATTATCATTTTTCAAAATTTAAAATTTTTTTAAAAATAAATTTAGCTCTTTGGAAAAATTTTTAATTGAAATTTTTGGATATTTTTTCTATTTTTGTTGTTTTGAATATGGATGATTATATTTGTTTCTTTCAAAGTAATATTTACCATGAATAACCAATAGATTTTTAAAAATCTATCTAATTAAAAAACTATTCTATTTTATTTGGTATTTGGTTTTCATTTTTTTCAAATTTTAAATTTTTAAAGATGAATATTGGCTAATTTTGGAAAATTTTTAATTTTATACCGTATATCTATATCTTATAAATAATCAGTAGCTTATGGCTTCAAATGTATTGTTTTTGCATAAAAATATTAATTTAGTTTGTTTTTTATATATATACCTATATGGTTTACTGATTTGCTTTCTTTCTTTCTTTTAGTTTGTGTACATTGAATTTTTTTCTTTCCTTTTGAACGGGATCGGCAATCAATGAGTATATTTTTCACACATTTTTGCCTATATTTACAATTCACATTATCTTCTCACGGGTAAACATAATCATCACACTCGTCGTTCGGACTCAATATCTCTGGAATTCATACATTTTCAAGAAGATTTTTTTTGCTGTCGTTATCATTTCGACCGACGAATGATATCCAATCAAAAACTGTGTATGATTAGAATACATATACTAAAATTGTTCCATCTGACTTTGAAAAATGTTTTTTTCTTTTTAAAATCTCAATATGTACATGTTAAGTATCAATTTGTCTTTATTTTTTTTAAAAAATTTATTAATATGAACCTTTCTATTTTCCAGTTATAGCTTTAAGCATAAAAGAAAAGTTGATACAATATTAAAACTTTTTTTTCTTTTGATTTATATGATGTTAAACGATTTATTTTATTAAGTGTATAAAATCTGGACCTAGAGGATTGGCACGAATTTTCTCAAATCGTTGATGAAGATGATAATGAATGCAAAATGATCATTGATATATTATATATATTCTAAAATTTTATACTTTAAAAAAAATTATTAAACAAGACTCTTAATTAGTTTCATTATTGGTTCACACTTAAATTTAATTTTTTTTGATTTTATTTTTAATATAATAGATCGTTTTTGTTTTTGTTAATTATTAGTAAATTCCATTTTATAAATTATAAATCTATATACATTAATAAAACAGTCTTTTTTAAAAAATAATAATAAAGCAACTCGCACCATCGCCGGATGCCGCCAGTATATCTATAATATAATAATCTTATTCACACCGGAAAAGAAAAGATAATAAGCCGCCGTCTCTTGTGCTTACCAAAGGACCTGTCGTTCAGTCGTTTCGGAGAAAAGGTGGTTGGTGTTTCTAAAAACGACGTATCGCATTGTCACATAAATTTTTTTATCCGCGTAAAAAATTAGGAATTGGCGTTTCGTTGCGGATTCAGAGTTCTTCTTCTTCTCCCTTATCCATGAATCCCCTTCGGGACTGCATATCCCATCCAATTTACCTTCCCCCACTTATCCCCCTCAACACCCTAAACCCCTATCCTAATCCCTAATTTCTTCTTCTCCGCTGTTCACCAACCTCCACCACCACCACAAACGTAACCACCCCTAGGTCTCAATCTCAAGCTCAAGCAACAGCAACTCCTTCCGCCACAGCCACTCCGGACTCTCGATTCTCTACCCACTTTCTTTCTCTCACTGGCTTACTCTCTCTCTCCCAAACAAACCCTTAGTCTCTATCTTCTCTACTACTCTCCTCAAACTACCTCCTCTAAAATCCCAGAATGCCAATTTTGTTGCCTGTCCCCATAATCACATCACCACCTTCATGCCTCCAGAGTTTCTCTTTCTCCAGCTCTCTTTCGATTGTACCATCTCCTCTTTTTGATGACCCCACGTCTCTTATCCGATTCCCTCCACTACCAAAAACTGTTTGTGAAAACTCCAAAACGCCGCCTAAAAGTCCCTTACTGAGTCGATATCAGGATTCCAACACTGAACCTGTTGCTTTTTCCTTTGATAGTTTTTACATGAGTTCGTTCCAACTTCTTTATAAAAGATTGCCCAGGTTGTTGTTAACTCCACTGATTTAGATGACTTCAAATAAAACATTCACATTACCTGGTGTTATCAGTAGAATGTGCAAATTTTGTTGGCAGTGGTGAGGGAGATAATAAGGGTTTATGTTTAATGAACGGGTTTTAAAATTTTGCCATCAGATTTTATGGGCAATTAGAGGGACAGTTGAAGGGTTGCGGTTGAGTAGGCCTCAGTATGTATTCCTATTGGTGTTTTTTGGTGTATTTACAGATTTTGAATGTGATTAGAGGACCGATTTGAGGAGATGGCTTACTTGCCCATTTCCGCATTATGGTGTGGTGATTGATGCTGTATATGAGAGAGATCATATTTCTAGTTGCTATTTTAAGCTTTGTTTAAAAGGCAATAGAAGAGAAGCTTTGAGCCTTGTGGATCCACGAGAGTGAACATAAAACTTTCGAGTTACAACTGCACCAGGTTTTGGGGCAAGTTTTGATGTGGATTGCAATCTGCACCCTTTCTGGTTTGTATGGCTTTGATAGTGAATGCGAAGTGCTTTAGCTATTCACATTTTTTTCGGCAATGGTGCTAGAAGTTGCCAATGGTAATACTGGTTTCCGTTGGGAATCTATCTCGAAGGAAGGATCAATAGATTCGGTTGATTTTAATGCTAGTGATTTAAAGAGATCTTTAAATAAATGAGCCTCTTGAAGCGAAGGATAGCTGTGAAGTGGCACAAGTGGCTGAAAGTGTCGATGTGAAGAAGGTGAATTGTTGTGTCCCAATGGCAGCTTCGGTTGCAGCTCTGCCGAACGCACCTACTCGAAGCAAAGTTTGAAGAGATTAAGGATGTCTCCAAAACACTACCAAGATATCAACGGCATGTCGTGATTCCTTTTCTTATTTGTTGCTGGCTTTCTTTCTTTAGGTCTGCGAAATGTTTCATAATTTGCAAGTCAATATGTTTCATAGTTTTTTACAGTCATTAAAATGTGTAAATATGTGTGTGCTCAGGAAGTGGGTAAGATACTATTCTACATGCAGGGTGGCTGAGCATGAATATATGTCAAAAAGGGCAGAGAGGAGCGTAAAAAACGTTCCTAAACTACAGAGCTATGTTGAGCATTGATGGTCTGGCCGTCGAAGCAAATCAAATAAACCAAGTACCACACTAAAAGTGTATTGATTCCATTTAGCACAAGTTAAATTACACTGGATCCGGCGAGTGTAGGTCTATGGGCTCATAAGTGGACTAATGCAGTTCTATTTCAAAGTTAAAAGCTTGAAAATCCAGTTCTGAAAAAAGTTTCAAAAGAGTGAATGTTGCAGTTTATTTTAGACATTGAAAGCCATTTTTTCTTGTTAGAAAAAAACGGAAGAATTCTCTTAAAGTTTTTTCACTTCCAGAAAAATTTTAGTGTAGTGGCTAAGCTTATTTGTGATACAATGATGATCTACCTATGTAATGTGGTTATATTTGTTTCTGGGTATCTATTTCAAATGAAGAAAATAAACAAGCAGCTAGAACTGTAGAATAGACTGTATCCTTGCTGGTAGCTGCTTTTCCCAGAGAGGGATGTGCATGAGTATAGCTTGATATTGGGACATTGAATCTTTTAACCAATAATTTCATAAATTTTTGGTCTGGCATGTATTAGAGCTTGTCTGAAGGTTGCATCTTAGGAGATTGCCAAACCTTTATAGTTGTTTTGCTGCCATGTAACCATTTGTTTCTCTTGTAATGCTTCCCTTTTATTGACTAATTCCTGTAAATTAAGATTTTTTGACTTTTAAACAAGGAAACAGAGCAAGACTAAGGGACAAGCAGGAGTTATGGACTGAAGAACGGGATGTACAAACGGGCCGAAGAATGTCATATCGTGGGAAGAAGTTGGAAAAGGACAAACTTTGCAGGATAGGATGATGTTTTCATGTTGAAGTAGATGCTTAACTAATTGATTACACTGTCTGTTGTTGATTCTCAAAGCTGATTAAATCCTAGACTTGTTGTGAATGGCTGTTGGTAAAAATATGTTTCTGATATATGTTAGGACTTGGGCCGAGGAAAATTATGACTTATCTGATCACTGGATTTGACAAGAACCCAAGCAGCTAACAGTTCTTTTTCTTGTTATTCTTCTAACTGCGCCATGGTTGTCATAAATTGAAGTACCCTGAGCTTTCCTTATTTTTATTTCTGGAATGTTTTTTTCCTATAGGTGATTGTGGGATATAATAGATGAATACATGGAGGAAAATTCAAGCAAGCTGGAGGGATTGGTTGTTTTGAGAAGGAGGCTGAAGAGGAACGGATGGTCTCATAAACCATCCTCTGCTTTCTAACATTGATATGGACGTTGTGAATCAGAGAAGGCAATAGGAAGTCTAAGTCTTCCTGAAGCAATATAGCTCTTCAAATACTATGAAAACAATCCACACCTGATCATAGCCTCAGATCTATAAAAGCCAGGATACTTTCACCTCAATATGATGCACCGACAGGAACGCCAGTCATGATAGGTACCATGTGAAAACATGTAGAATATCAAGAAACACCTGTCAAGGGTCAGACAGTTAGAGATTATTATTCTGAAAGTCCAGAAAGACATTAGAAGTCATGGCCTGGTGGCATGACAAGAGTAGCCGTCAAACAGAAACAAAGATGATCAGAAGTGACAATAAGCATTGTGACAAAGCAAGATGATTCAGAAGTGACTAATAAGCATTGTGACAAAAGATCTTCTAGCAAGTCCAGCTATCAAAACAAGTCATCTCAGTATTTGTCACATTCTGCCAATAATTCCGGTAGACAAAAGGATGACGAGAAATTGGATGTTATGGATAGGCATCTAAGAAGCTCATATGAGAATCATAGCTCAAAGTTTCTGGCGAAAAATGCTTTTGAGGATAGATATGACCCTGCAGTATCTAATGACACAAATCAAGATGATGTGTATGCTAACAAGAAGTATGTCAGAGCAGAGAAATTCCATAAGTAAAATTGCAGCAATTCTGCGACCGCTTATCATGAGAAAGCCTTAAGTTTTATGATATGGGTCGCTTATCCTGAGAAAGCCTTAAGTTTTATGATATGGGTAAGTCATTCTGTTCATTCTTCTGTATCCTCTAAAACTGTTTTATTTGAACTACATGTGTAGGTTTGCTCTTAACACTGTCTTTCCACACAACTTTGCAGTAGGAAGTCATCAGGCTTCAGCAATTTTGTCTGCTTCTGTATCCTCCGTTGTATCCTTAACTGTTTTATCATTAGTTCAATTGACAATGAGTAGCAATCGTCAATTAAGTTGAAATGACATTACTGTGAAAACTATTTAATACTTACTTTATACTGTCATATTTTCCCATATCAACAGAAATAGTTATTAATAATGTCTACACCTGAGATGTTTCTTGTGTTTGGTTCAAAATTTTCAATTCCTTGCTGAACAATTCTTTGATGGTAAGATCATTGGTTAAAAAGGCAAAAGCAATTGATAATCAATCAGCATTGGTTTTCAGGTTTGCTTGATTTGAATAACTCCAGTTTAAAATCCCTTCTTCTTGAAGGAGAAAGCATTATAATGCATAACATTGAATTTTCCTAAATTTGAGGGGTTTTATCTCTACGTGCAAAATTGGCTTGTTATTTGAGATTTGCTTATATCTCACCTTTCTGCTTGTAGATTAAAAAAGAATGCTGCAATTTTTTTTTTTTTTTTTTTTTTTTATGCTGCAATTTTTTTTTTTTTTTTTTTTTTTTTTTGAAGAATATATGAAAGTTTTTTGGAGCCCAGTTTTCCTTGAAGATCTTCCATATGGTGCAGAAACAAGCATTTAGCAATGGAACAAAAAGAATTATCATATCAGAAGATGATGACCTACGAATTTTCCCAATCAGCCTTTTGTCTTTATATCTTAGTTGTTTTCTCATAGATGTAAGATTTAAAGTTAATATTCACCTGCTGTTGCTTCTTACCATTGTAATATCAACGCCCTGGCCATTTTTACCTTCGCTGTCGTAGTTTCCTCTCTAAATATGAAAAAGATAATGATGCTAAAATTACATTTTTTTTTTGTTTACTATTGGTAAAGTCTTTCTTTTGGTTTGTATTCAATGATTTAAATTTTTTTTTATTTTGGTTTTTGAATATGGAACATCATTCAAAAATGAATGGGAGAAGTCTTGAAAGGGTTAGTTATCTAAATGGATCGGCACATTTTGTTTATTCAAAAATAAAAATGAAATGCCGACTCTTGAAAATAAGTTTTCACAAGTTCTTGTTAGAAAGTGACCAAGCTGCCTTAAGCCAAAGAGAAAGGGATACCATTCGGGGCAAAACTAAAATTGCAGTTGTCGGATTAGATTAGCATTTGTTACCCGACAAGGGGAATTTGGTCATCTAATTATTATTTGCCTTTGTTTGGTAGGGACAAATACCTTTTTCTCGCTGCAGGTAGTGGAAACTTAACATCCCTTCTGATGGGCATTTATTGGCAACTGCTATTTCATTTCTAAAGTTCATGAATAAGTGATATGCCCTCTTTAGTTCCTTTCTTTATGTCTATTTCTAGCTCATCTTATTTGCTCAACCTACCTTTCCCAAGCTTTTTCTTGTTGTTGCAGCTAAAGAAACCTCCTCAAGTAGTTCAATGAAAGCTTTAACTTCTGGTTATTAGAGGTGATAGGTGGCTTTTTTTTTTTTTTTTTTTACCTTCATGTCATTAGATGGAAACAATGCAGTAAAAAATTAGAGGGTGAAAAGCACTTAAAGGGAAGAGAGAGAGAGAGAGAGATACAAAACGACATGAAGTTTCAGATTCATGTCTTTTCATGCATTATTATGTGGCCTCAAATAGTCAAATTCTTTTTTATCTTTTTCTTCTTTTATCTCCAACTCTTGTCCAAAGGTTGGGCATTGAATTAAGGAATCCTCTTAAAGTAGTTCATGAAAGCTTCAAATTAATTGTGGTTATTGGAGGTCATGGTGCCATGTTTTTAACATCATGTCATTAAAGGAATCATATGCAATAATACAAAAATTACTAATAAAGAAGAGGATAAAAAGAGAATGATAAAGGGAAAGTTGTCTAAGTGAAAAACTTTTAAAATTTTAATTGAAAGTTTGAATATTAGAATGGAGGCTATGGTCTTTGTGTTTACAATAACAATAACTAATATATAAATCTTTTATTTCTATTGTTAAGAAACAATATATTTTTGAAATAATAATTTTTCCTCCTGTGATTCTTTCTCATTTAATATTGTCGACCATTAACTATTGTAACGGGTCTATGTAGAACATGACCCAACAATCTCAATCTGAACGTTAAGGGTAAAGATTATGGTCATTAACTTTTATAATTAATTTTTTTTAATAATATTATTCTACCTCTTTAGTCCAACAGTGAATGATCATTCTTCAATTAAAGCCTCCATGTTATCTTTCAACAAATTTTATTTACAAATATAAATTATCTAAAAATATATAATAATTAAAGAAATATCACTAAAATTGGCATAAGATTCAAATTCCTTGAATCTAATCTATTTCGATCTAAGAAATTTTTTTTTAAAGTATCTCTCAACAAATTTCATTTACATAAATTATCTCAAGAAAATATAATAATTAAAGAAATATCATCAAAATTTTCGTAAGATTCAAATTCCTTAGTTTATATATAATTTTTTAGAATATTCACTTTCTAAATATCAACAGTTTGAATCTTTTTATTTATATAAAAAGTGAGAGGTATCAGTTTGAATTTTTTTATTTATATAAAAAGTGAGAGATATCGAGTTTTAATCTTTTTTATTATAAATTTTTTTCATCAATTTGATGAGTAGAGAGCCGCTATAAAAAAATTTTTTTTTTTTTTCAGATAAATAAATTCCAATTTATTCAAGTGAATACATCCATAACTTTATGATTCTAAATAGTGAAGTTTTCATTTTATTAAAAGATTATTAAATTAAAAAAAAACTATTGGTTTTCAGAAAAGGAGAAACAGACACGTCAGCAAGAGAGGCACAATGTAGACTACCCCAGTTCCCCACGCTATATATTCTGCCACCAAGTGTAACCCCTTCGTCTGTTCCTATTAATTCTTCTCTTTTCTCAGTGTAACCCCTTCGTCTGTTCCTATTAATTCTTCTCTTTTCTCTCAACTGTGTGAAGAAAGTGGGGCAACAACGGCAATAGAAAAAAGAAATAGAAATCAAAGAAGAAAGAAACAAGAACGAGAAACCTCATGATTCATACAATACACCATCCTCTTTTTCAGCTCTTAATTACAAACTCATTTTTATAATTTCTTGTTCCTTTTCTTGAAATTCTTGTTCTTTCTTCAACTTTTATGGCTAAAAGTGGGGTTATTGAACCTATTCCTTATACTCGAATGGCAAACGCTTCAGAGTTAAAGGAACAGCTTCAGATACTGGTACAGGCAATTCTTGATGAGGAAGATTATAGCTTGGGAATTACTGATCAGATTATAAACATTTTGACTGCTTTGAAAAAATTGAAGTTGAAGAAGTTGAAGAATTCTTCTGATGATTCTTTGAAGGTGGTTGATGATTGTGTTGTTCCTGATGAATTTAAATGTCCAATTTCAAGAGAGCTCATGACTGACCCTGTAATCTTGGCTACCGGGCAGGTTAGGAATTCTTTTTTTTTTTTTTTTTTTTTTTTTTCATTCTAGAACTAACTTGTTAGAATTCCTGGTTAGAGTTTTGGGAAGATCCTATGATGGATTTCTTTTTGTTAAAATTATGTTGATCATACATGCAAGAATAAAACTTGGTATCCATTGCAAGAGATTTATTTTTTTTTTTTTTTTTTACATTCTAGACTACTTGTTAGAATTCTGGTTAGAGTTTTGAGATCCTATTGGATGATTTCTTTTTGTTAAAATTATGTTGATCATACATGCAAGAATAAAACTTGGTATCCATTGCAGAATTTAAGTTCTGCTTCAGAATTTACTTGTACCTTCCTTGGCCAATTATGCAAGAATTAAAGTTCTGAAGAGAATAGTATTAGTCTTTGAGAATTAAAGGTTTAACTTTAATAATATGGAAACAGTTAATTTGGTTCACCTTTCCTCCTTTTAACTATAGAAACATTGAATTTCAGGAAGGTTGATTATGAAGAGAAAGTGGGGCCCAAAGCAAGAAAATTTTGTAGATGAAGACTAAAGTTGATAATTAAGCATAATTTTCAGATGATAAGCTGGCATAGCCTCTAGCAGGCTTTTCGTTTGAATCTTTTACCATTGTTTTCCATGTTGGAGATAAGGTAGGTAGATAGAAAAAAATATCTACTTTCGGGGTGGCCTTTCAAACAATGATAAGAAATTGACCCTCATTGTGGTGCATTAATGAAACTGTCACCAATGTCCTTATGCTGTGATTGATTCTAGCTTAAATTGTTTTGCCAATTTAATTTGTGACAGTGACATTGGAAAGCAGGACTTGTGATTAGTCTGATCAATTTTGGAGCATTTACGAATCAATATTAGCATCTTCTTTTAGGTCTTTGATTTGCAGGCTTGTGGTGCAATATCCATTTTATTTTTGTTCTTCCTGAAATATTTCTTGATTTGCAGACTTATGATCGACCCTTCATCTTAACGTGGGTAGTTGAGTTTGAGGGCCTTTCATTGATCTTTTAAATTGCGAAGAGGTCATTGTGGATTATTAGTCTCATTGAATGCTTCTTGTTATACTGCTAATTCTCATTACAGAAGTCATAAATTGATCGCTCTTTTTCGAGTTCACCTGTGCTCAAGCTCTCCTAGTTTCCTGTATATATGAGGTAAAAAAACAGTTAGCTTTTTTTATTTGATTTCGCTGTTATTCGGAAGATAAATTGTATTTTTTATATACTTACCTTTAATCGGATAATTTAAATTTTATAAAGTTAATCTAGAATTTGTAAATATTCCATAATATGATATGGCACTCATTTAGTATTTAAAGGGAAGAGTAAAATCATTCGTTGAGGTCTGTCTTATTTTAGTAAATTTTTACTTTTTAAAAGATATTATTTAATTCATGAAGTTTGAAAATGTTAACTAATTAGTTTTATTTTTTCATCTGAAATTAAATGTATTCTTATAGAGAGTATTTGGCGTGTTTCTGCTTACATAACAAGTAATATTTACAGTTAAAATACTTGGGCTTCATTTCTAAAATAATTGGTAATATTAAAATTTTAAGATTTCTAAAATAATTGGTAATATTAAAATTTTAAGATTTTAAAGTATAAATACATTATGATAATATTTGATGGATTAATTTGGAATAAAACTTTTTGTGTTTTTCCCCTCTGATTCTTAGCAGCGGTGCAGAACTGCAGATGCCCATTTGCGTAATTCCGGTGCGACCATCTCACTTCAGCAAAGCCATCAGAATACGAAATGCTCCGATCCGTCAAACTCTATTTAAGAACCACCGCCACCGCCACCGCAAACCGCCGCCACCTCAAAACCCTAACTCTCTCTACCAGCACTACAACCGCCAATAAAGACGCCTACTTTGCCTTGGTCCATCACATAACCAACATAGTCCGTCGCGACATTTATCCGGAACGCACTCTCAACAGACTCAACCTCCCTGTGACTTCTGAGCTCGTCTTCCGTGTTCTACGCGCGTGCTCTCACTCGCCTTCCGAGTCCCTCCGCTTCTTCACGTGGGCCCGCGCGCACTATTCCCCTACCTCCGTCGAATATGAAGAACTTATCAAAACCCTAGCCCGCGCGAAACGTTATGCCCTCCTGTGTATATGAGCAAAACCCTAGCCCGCGCGAAAACGTTTATGCTTTCAGTTGGAAACCTAATTTGACTCAAAGAAAGGAAAAATCCGCCAATTTCAGCAATTTCTAGATGATACGGTGTGTTCTATTATTGAAGAAGTATGGGACAAACATAGGATTGAATGATGATCAAAGCCCCGTGGAGGTTTTTTAATAAGGTGCATTAAGTTTGAACTGAGTGAAGCAAAGCTGGTTGGCAGTTATACAATTTGCCTTGCTTTTTTGCTCTCTGTGAAGTGAAAATGTTTCCATGAGCTTATGCTTTGATTAGAACAGATGTAGGAAGGGGTTGGCTCCTGATAAGAGACTTAATGCTGTTCTTGTTAATGGATGGTGCTCAAGTGGGAAAATGATTGAGGCAGCAGGGTTTTTTCTAGAGGAGATGAGTAAGAAAGGGTTTTAATCTCTGGTTAGAGGAAAGAGATTTGTTGATTGAAGGATTGTTTAAGTGCAGGGTATTTAGACTCTGCAAAAGGAAATGGGTTAGAAAGATGATGAGGAGGGCTTTGTGCCAGATGTTAAATACATTTTAATTGTTTGATAGAAGCTATTTGTAATGGTAGGAGAGATTGGTCTTGTGTTGGTTATGTATTCAATGGTGTGGTGTAATTTGGGGCTTTGTCCCTGATATAAATACGTAATAAGATTTTGATTCCTGGTCTGTTTCAAAAGGTGGCAGTCTAGATGTTATGAGGCTTTTCGGTTGTTTAGACAAGAAGAAAATAAGTTCAATGAGGCATGGGCAAAGCCATTTCCTAGTTTGTATGCACCTATAATCCAGAGGGCGATGTGTGTAGGAAACAGGGCAATCTAGTTTGCTTTCTCTGTTGGTCTTCGAGGAACATAGAGGTCACGGGTCATTCCCCTCCGGAGGGCCCAGTAATAATATATGTTGGATCAGCTTACGTCGTGGTTGGCGAGGCAGGCGTATGGTGGAAGTCAGCTTTAACCTTATTTGTTTGAGATGACTGAGAAATGGGGTTTGATGCACACTCTCAGGTGCTTTGATAGTGACTGATGAGGTTGAAGAAAATTTGCGGAAAGCATGATGCTGGCTAAGAGGATAGAACAGTTAGAAGTGTCTTTCTAAGAATTTGATTGTTTGACAGTTTCTTCATCATGGATGGAAATTGTGTGAATTTATTTCCGCTTCCCTCATATGGAATGACAAGTGCTGCTTGGATAATGGAGGCTGGTTGATTTGCAAAGGTAGATTCTGGTCTTTAGTCTTGTAAATCCAGGAGAGAAATGCTCAAATTACAAGCCTCACTTAAGTTATAATTTTCCTAAATCTGTCCTTTTGCGGCATGTAATGTGGGGAATTTCGAGTGTCTGATGCTGTCTGCTGGTCATTTCTGCATTCAACCTAATGCTTAAATGAAGTTTATTAATCTTAATTGTATTGAACCTGCAAAAAGCAAATCGTTTAGTTTTGGCAAGCCTTTGCTGTTCTTTTTGGGCGAACTTTCTGTTTTTGCAATAACTGCATTGAAAAGATATGTTTTTGTTAAATAACTGCATGAAAGATATTTTTGTTAATTTCAGTTAATTGTCAACCAAAGCGAAGACTTCTAAAGATAATGGGCACTGAGATGAGAAATTATAATTGTTCATTTAGATGATAATTTCATAAACAAATACTGTTCGTGTGATTTTCCGCGATGCAGCTTGTTAAAATAACAAATTGATATCTTTCTAGGATGAGAAGTGTATTGGAAGTGTGGAGAGACTACACATGCCAGCAGCTTTGTGTCATTGATAGCAATACAGAAGACTGGCAGGGGGTGACTCAAGAGGAAGAAAGCTGCAAGCAAATTAAACAACCTAAAAATAATGGTTAATCTGCTCCAATCTTAAATTCCTGTTAAGTGATGTTGGTTTCCTGATCTTGTACAATCTTGCATCTGTCACAATCCTTTTTATGGGTAAGTCACAGAGTAGTCTATCATTTAAAATAATGGTTAATCTGCTCCAATCTTAAATTCCTGTTAAGTGATGTTGGTTTCCTGATCTTGTACAATCTTGCATCTGTCACAATCCTTTTTATGGGTAAGTCACAGAGTAGTCTATCATTTGTGCATGGAGATGATAGAGAAATAATGATATAATTTTATCAATTTGGGTCCAATTAGCCCACAAACTTTGTTCTGCAATCAAATTAACAGAGACCATTATATTTTGTTGAGTTTTAGTTCATTTTGTTTTTTCCTTAAACATTGAAAAAGCTTCCACTAGGCTACATGATAAAAAAAGTAGTTCTTGAGTTAAATATATATAACAGTCAGTTATATTTTTTTGTAAGCATATGTATTCATTGTCTTCATTTGAGTATCTGCTTTGAACGAGAAGATAATAAGAATGATTCTTTCTTTCGATGTATTATCTCCTGGCTAGTTATAGAACTGTAGAATAAAGAGTTCGGAATTTCTGCTGGAATATAAGGAGAGAATCAATTTGACAAAAATTCAAATATTTCATACTGCTTCCAAAGTTGAAATTGACAACAGAACATGATTGGAATTGACAACAGAACATGATTGGAATTGACAACAGAACATGATTGGAAATCTCTTATTAGTTTATTCTACTTGTGGTTTCCAATTAAATACAAAGAAATAATTGTCAATAGAAAATCATTCATAGCTATACTATTACATAGGCATGGTTAATAGTATATCTCTATCAGTTAAAACCAGCAATGGCAACTCCATTGGTCTTTGCAATGTTGAACTGAAAGTGAATTAGGCCAATTGGAAAGACAAAAACATCTCCTTTGTGTAAGATTTTACTGATAAAACGATTTGGGTTTGTTGTCACGAAACCAACATAAAAGGTGCCCTCGAGGACTAATAGGATTTCTGTGGCACGGGGGTGAATATGAGGAGGGTTTAAACCACCATTTGGTGCATAGTCGATACGAGCTAGGGAGACACCTAGAGTGTTAACCCCTGGTATCTGGTCGACATTTAAGAGCGTTACATTTGATCCAACTTGATTCATTGTATTTCTGGGAATGTTGAGTCCCGAGAAGGAGAAATCATTGGTGTAGTGAGATTTGGATTCTTGCAAAATTTTCCATTCACGAACACTGCATGGCAAAAATTTATTGTTAACTATTCAAATCATGTAAACCAACGTATTCCAACAATACTCGTTTTTTAGAAGAAATAATGTCCTTTCTGGGATGAAAAAATAACAAACAGTAACTTGGAATAAAGCAAAAAAATAAAAAAACTGAAACAAGATTATACCAGCATTCTTGGGTTCATCTATTGCTACACAAAAATCCTGGAGTGGGCTAGGGTCATAGGCACTGACATATGAGAGCGCCAAAGCCAAGACTGTGAAGGCTAGAAGAAAATGAACACCTTTCATTTTTATCGGAGACCCCATCTAGCTTTACTTCTTAAATGAGCGCCTGAGACTGAGAGTGTGAGAATTACTGCATGATTACACATTATTTATAGATGAATATCTTTGCACTATCGAGTCTTGTTCCTTAACAACATAAATAATCTGTTTTTTCAAGGATTAGTTTTGGTTGGTTATCTACTTGAAGCTATGATTCAATCTTAAGGTGAGTCTGTACTCAGTATTGTTCAGCTCTCATACACTTCCACAACTAAAATGAGAAAAAACAAAATTTTTGTTGAGGAAAAATAATTTTTTTCTTTTTTGTGAGGAAAAATATTATTAGGCGCAAATCTGCATTTTGTATTATACTGAATTATTGTACATTAAAGACCGGTTTTTAACTGAAATGACAGAGACAAGGGAACTATAATTAAATCATTTCCCTTCCATTTTGTATTATACTGAATTTTCGGTTTATCTATGTTTCTAGCAAACATATTATTTGGAAGTAATTTATTTCACAAAAAGATTTCTCGTTCTGAAGAAACTATTATGTTTAAATCAATTATAAAATTTATAATTATATTCATCTGAAGAAACTATTCTGAAGCAAAAGCCACTGCATTTGTCTTTGCAATATTCATCTGAAAATGAATCAAACCAATCGGAAAAACAAAAACATCTCCTGGGTATAGTACTTTACTGATGAGTCGATTAGGGTTTGATGTAACGAAGCCAACGGAAAGAGTGCCTTCAACAACTACAAGAATCTCCGTAGCTCGAGGATGAGTATGTGGAGGGTTTAATCCACCATTTGGTGCATAGTCAATTCGAGCCAGAGAAATTCCAAGAGTATTCAAACCGGGTATTCTGTCAACATTCAACATAGTTACATTTGACCCGACCTTATTTCCTGTATTTCTTGGAGTTTTCAGTCCTAAAAAAGAGAAATCATCTGCTACAAAAAGGTTGGGGTCTTTGCAGAATTTTCCATTGACAAACACAGCATTTGTCGGCTCATCAATGGCTACACAGAAATCTTGAAGAGGGATTGGGTCATAAGCAGAGACAAACGGCGAATTATTAGCTAATAAACCCAAGAGTAATGTGAAAGATAATACAGCAAGGGAAGAATGATTATCTTTCATTTTGTTTTTGTCTAGCTTTCTTGTTTCGAATTCAAGGTGTGAGAAATCTTGCATTAGTGGATTAGTATTGATAGCTAAACTTTGGTAATGGTTATCTTCTTTTTTTTATTAGTATTATTATTGTTAGTGTTAGAATCATTATTTTTATTATCCTTTATAATTTCTTCCTGCATGAATCATTCTTCTCCCTATACAAATAAAACTTGGTTGACAAATTTGTGTTTATTTTATTTTTACGTCATCTGCAGATGCGTGGCACTGGTCATTTTTAATGAATCAAATACAGCTTGTTATCCTATTCTACAAGCAACCAATATTCAGTGACATGAAAATTTTGCCATGACCAATTTAATCTGTCAGTTCTCCGCTGATTAATTTTAACAAAAATAATGTTGTATCTACGAGTGTCATGTAAAATTTAAATTATTTATAAATCTAATGTTTGTCTGCTATGGAAAGTGAATATTACACTTAATTGAAGGCAGGAAAAAGCGATCAGAACATTAAATAATTTTTATTTTGCATTGAAATCACCAAATCGAGTTGTTTTCTATAAATAAAAATTGTAAATTATCAAAAAGACTTTTTCATTAAACTAGTTTTATTGCAAATATGAGATATGACTATTAGTGAGCAAAAAATACACAAAAAATAATGTTTTATTAAAAATCCATCCGATTAATTAATAGCTTCACTAAAAATATTTATTTGCTCAAAATATTTTTTCACCAAAACATACATCATTTAGTATAAAGATATCCTTGATTTACTTCTTAAAAAAAATATTATTAAATTATAAACACAAACCTAAATTAATTGCATCATTCACCAAAATTGCAAATATGAGATATGATACCTTAAATTAGGTTTGTGTTTATAAATCAATGGTAAAGAAGGATGAAAAATTTTCTTTAATGATAATAATGATACATGGAATTTTCTATAGACATTTCACATGGATGAGTAATGGATTAGAAATGATAAATGAATTTGGAATTTTCTTAGAAATGATAAATGAATTTGGAATTTTCAATGCTTATACAAACATGACATGACTATTGTTTG